ATATATATATATATATATATATATATATATATATATATATATATATATATATATATATATATATATATATATGCACACCTTAAAGTTGCTTTAAAGTTTTAGACATTGTATTTCCTTTGTGTTACCTAAAAATGCACTTATTGCATGTGAAGTAATGTTTAGGAAACAACACATTAAGTCCAAACTTGAATTACTACTGTAGGTGGTACAGTCAATTTTAGTAAGGACTATACATATATGCTTGGAATCACTCTAGTGGGCAACTTTATTAAATATTGCATACACTGCTTTTGACCAAGTCTATGGAAAACGAGGTGTTGCAAAAAGACATCACTATATTGAAAAATAACCATTAAGCATTACCAATACCATTATGACATAAATAACCATTAATAAAATCATGAACCACTGCAACATCTTCTATGGCAATTGAAGGTAAGTACCCACCAAATACATTTTACTTCCAGCATATATATGTCTCCTAATGCTATAAGTAATGATCACATATAAGAACAATGACTGTCAAGCAAAATTTAGTAAAAAGCAAGTGCAAGTACAGAACCACAGAAAAATACTTATTTGGAGAAGGGTCCTTACATTATGTTAATAAGTACAGAAGTTATCCATTTTAAGTCAGTTAAAACATATCTTTTTAGTTTTGAGGTGTTCCTCTTAGATAACAGGTAGCTAAAGTAAAGAGTAGCGGACTGCTGTTTTCACATTCTTTAAAATTATATATTGAGTGGGTTATGTTGCAAGGCTTGTTTTCTGCTCCAATGTTAATATATTGCTGTTTAAAATTAAAGTAACCATTGTTATGTATTGTGCTGACTGACGAAAAAATGTAACTATTTTTGACAAGCCTGACTTCAACTTTTTTCAGGCGTTCCAGGCAATTATAGCCTCAGTGGCTCTATGCAAATACATTGGAAAGTTGGTAGTCAATAGCAATGTAATCAGTGGTTGAAAAAAGTCAGCTCTTCTCACAGCATTTTTCCCCTTATCAATACACACACTATAGATATTCTTTAGCTGCAAAAATACGTTTTCAAAGGCAACAAAGAATGATTTTTCTTCTAAAAAACAAAAAAAAATGAATAAGAAAACCCTATGATCTTTCACATGTGCAAAGAAAAAAGTACACAAGGACCCAGACAAGAGAGGATGAAGAACATGTATGCAAAAAAAAACAAGGGAAGATAACAGAGAGATGAAAGAAAGAGCAAAAAGGGAGAGAAAGAGTCGTATAAAAGGATCGAAGTGAGTCAAATTGATAAAGAGATAAGTGAGGGAAGAATGCAGCTAGAGTGATAGCACAGAGTGAGAAGGAGCTTGGAGGTGGTAACCAATTACGGAATCTTGGTATGGACACTCATCAGTCGCTCCAGGAAATACTTGTACAATGTTGGCCGTGTTTAAGATTTTCTTTGAAATCTTTGTGCAGTCTCATGTATTATAGCCTGTTATACAGGAAAAATTGGCTGTTAAAGAGTTGAGCAAAGAAGGAACTATATATTTATTTCTACATAAATCTTAGGCTCCGCTAAATTCATGATATTGATCACAATAAAAAATATATACAGTAAATATTTTTTTAATCTTGTTCTAACTTAACCCTGAAAATCTGAAGGTACACATACACTGCAAATCCTTCATCTATACTGTGATGACTAATTTCTTCAAACATACTGTATATCATACATCTTTGATATGCTTTAAGGTTCCACAGAGTTACACAGACCAGACACAAGAAGAAACACATTGGCACTCCAGAGGCCGCATGCTCTGGTTTTCGAATAAACTTCTAAACATATTTTCAGTACTTGAACACTTGCCAGTCAGCAAAAATTCAGTCCCTCAATGACCTGTTAGCCTGCCTCTGAAAAATCCACCTCCTCTCCACCAAATAATTCTAAATTGCACACACCTGTTTGAGGTCGTTAGCTGCATTTACACACCTGTCCTGCCCACCCCATAACAATGCAGTCTTAGTGGGCCTTTGTGTAGCCCAGTAGACCAGAAAATTACAATTTCAAGCAGCTTGCTTCAATGATCTAATTTAGCAATGCCTACTGCAAAGGAGACAGTGATTTGTTATGGAGGCGTGTGCCTGGGTGAGTTATATTTATTCTTGAACGCGGAGCTATGATGACTAATGCCTGTACTAGCGACATACTGTAGGCATGCATCAGCATGTTTGAGTAAATAGGAAAAAATAATCTTCAAAAGCCAACATTTAAACCTACGAGGGCAATAATTAGGCCGCATCTAGTTTAGATCTGGTTTCGGTATATGTGAGAAACTGCTTTGTGGTATATTGGACCCCATGCAGACAAAGCGGCTGCAAGGCTGACCACATTTGAAACCTTCTCCAATACTAGAGTAGTTTGAAGCTACACTAGCCTCCGCTAGGCATTTCTGTCATGATACCTATATCCTCATTAATGGCCAAAATGGAGTGTGTTTGCACATGCAACCCAAGGTGGACATTACCACCCTTAAAATGCATGGGATGAAAACGATAACAAACGTGGACTTCAGAGTTTCTGTTTAGTTTTAGATTTTAAGTATTTGAAGTTATCCTACTTCGCATCAAAATAACATCTAGTTTAGTTTTTTGTTTTTTTTCTGCAAAAAAAAAAAGATTTTGACATATACAGGTGTTAAAAAAAAACTTGATTTGAATTTAACCAAAATTTAAAGTGTTTTTCAATATTACATGGCTAACAGAAACATTGCAGAGACATCTAATCTCCTTACAATGATAAAATCAGTCACATTTTCTGACTCTTAACAAAATGAATGTCAATACAAGATAATAAAAAAACATTTCCACATAGTATCTTGTGACCAGGGCCTTGTGGATGTTCTTACTGAGCGCTAACTCCTACCTGTGAAGACAGATGTGCTGACAAGTCTGCTCTCTTGACTCCCTCTGACAGCATTGATGTTAATCTCATACTCTGTGGCTGGAAAAAGACTAGACAAGGTGTAGTTTGTCACATCGCTGTCGATCATCTCGCTGTCCACTCGACCTGCAGTAGACACCAGATAAGCCAAAACATTAAACATCACTCTCGTCTCACAACTTTTAAATAGTGTTCCTTGTAACTATAGTAACTGCTATCTGGTTTGCTTAACAGACTGAATTGGTGATCAGTGAGGCATTTAATTTAAAATTCAATTAAAGTTTACTGATAAAATGTCATGATTAATTTGCTATAACACAGTGTGTTACCACAAAATGTATCTTGTGTAAGAAAGCAAATGCCATAATCATTTAACTGTAACTGAAACACCGGTGAGCTTATGTAGTGTATATATGTCAAATTTCATGTATTAGGATGGGGTTAGTACACAGATTGTGCTGACATAAAATGCTACCTCTAGCCGACTGGTAGAAGAGCTTATAATATTCAAAGGAAGCCAGTGGTTTGATCCAAGAGATAGTCACTGCATCCTCTGTCACATCTGATACTGCCAGTTCTTTTGGTGGGTCCATTTCTAGAAGAAAAACAGGTAAAAAATAAATAACGTAAGCGACAATAGACAATAAAGACACCATAAAAATATTTCAATATTTAGTTAATTTTTTATTTTAATGCTTAGTCCTAAATCAATGATCCCAAAGTTAAGGGATTCCCTGACATTATTAATGTTATTCCTTGTTAAAAAAAAACAACAAAAAACAGTAATTGCTGCAAAGCAATATCATAAACAATGTACACATAGAAAAAAAAGAAAGAAAAAAAAAATATATATATATATAAATGCAGCTTTAACTCTTTTTTAAGTTTGCTCTGTTAGTTTACAAAGACTGATTTAAACTAAAATTAACATTGAAAATGTAAATTAGAGTGTCTGAAAAAAGGCATAACAGGATCCAAAATACAACGCAAGACGCCTAAAGTTAGTGAAAATAAGTTAGTGATAATAAGTAAGTGAACACAGTCTGAAGAGATGACTAGGTTTAGACATTACCAGACCGCAATCTGGATCAGTGAAAAGACAGAAACTTATATGTAGGCCTAGTTACAAAACTGTGCACAGCAGGAAATAATTTATGAGAGAGAAAACTGTCACAGGGGAAAATGAAGAAACACCAAACCTGGACCCTGACATGCAGTTAGCAAAGATAAACTTATGAAAAAAGGAAAGTGAAAACAAATAAAGTAGGGATATAAAATACGTTAAGGATGTTCAATAAACTAAAAGATATTAAAAAAATACAAGAAACTGTAAAAGCACTAATAATCACAGAATCTTATAAATGACAGTTACAGTATATACCAACTCTTTAATATGAACCAATAAATAAATGCTGAAAGAACCTTCCAAAATAGATGACTATATCCATACAACCGCATTTGATGTTAGCATTTCATGGGTCATGGGCACCAATGTATTAGTTCTTAAAGATGCTATAAATTAAAAATGAAATAGTAAATTAAGAAAAAGTTGTGAAAACAAGCTAAATAATATCTGTTTAAAAATAACTATGACAGTTAATATAATTATTTATTCCATTCGTAAATCATGTTTACGTATAATTCTATCTATTTTTAATTCTTGTAAATTTTAACATTTTTTAATGAAGTTTGAAAACCAACACACACAAAAACTGTTGTGCTGGAGATATAATACTTTCTCTGTCCCAGATCCCAGTATTGTGCTGACTGTGTAAGCTTAGATCAAAGCCCAGTTTGAAGTTAGAACTGACCATTCTAACTATCAAAGTCAGCTCAGAAAAATCTGCTGTTAGAACTGTGACTAAAACATGAAACCAAGCAGCACATTCTAAATGCAGCAAATAAGTTTAATGCGATGCTGAAAGGGAGTGTGAAGCCTCTTCAATGCCCATATTCTAACAAGGCAGATCAAAGTAGGGCCCTGAACTAACTGCAGAGAAAAGAGAGGTGCAAAAAATATTATGAATGTGTCTCCAAATCCCCATTCAATTTCACCCTGGAAAATTTCCCTCTAATATAGGTTAATCTTATATAAAGAGCAGGAGCCCAAAGCTACCGAAGTGTTCTTATTATTAAAATTGGGACTTCTGGCACGTGTTATATACCTTAGTTTTTAATCCTAGCATTTTCCATTTGCTCAATTTCTCCAATTCTTTCTTTCTTTAAATCAGCTTTTTGTTTCTAAAGAGAAAACTAAAATGTTTTTCAAAGAATATAACCCTGATTCTTAGTCCTGAACACAGAGTGGGCTACAATAATTAAATTTGGCATATACTATATTTGGTTATACTGTATCTTATCCATGCATAGCAATTAGACACAGAAGCCCTATTAAAAAAAATGGACTTTGTTACAAGTAAGCTGGCTCCCTGGTTTAAGAGCTGTTTACATTTAGAATGGCATTCTAAACGTAAAGAGAAATTTGACTTACTGTAATCTCGAAAAACAGTGTACTGCTGTATTTAGATGTAATAAAAAAAAAAACTTGAATGCTTTCAATTCAAAAATCCGCTAGTGAAATTAAATGTTGCAGTCATTCATGGAGTTCTCTTTAACCAGCTCTTGTGTGTTGATTGCTGTATGCAGGAAGGATCTTCTGTAGTGGTTTGCCTTGCACAGGATCTGGAGAAGCCTCTGACTGAAGACACTCTGTTGTTGCTTATAAATCTTATTAAGAGGATGCTCACTACTGTCCATAATGTTCTTAACTTTATGAAGAATTTTTTCTTTGAGAAAAATCTCCAGAGTGCTGTTCAAGGAACTCCAGAGGAATTCCTAGAACAGTCATGCTTTATTACCATAAGCTTTTTTTCAAGTCATTGCTACCAGCAGATGATAAGGAAGAGATCACGCTCTCCATAACAGACTTATAAAAGATATGTAGCACCTTGTTGCAAACCCCAAAGGACATAAGACTCCTCAGGAAGTACAGTCTGCTCCGTCCCTTCTTGTAGATGACTTCACAGTTGCATCTCCAGTTGAGTTTGTTGTCCGGTTGAACACCAAGGTATTTACACTCCTCCNTAAAAGATACAGTATGAAGCATTTTGATTCAAACGCCAAAGGACCTAAGCTTTCTTAGGAAGCACAGTCTGCTCTGTCCCTTCTTGTAGATGACTTCACAGTTGCATCTCCAGTTGAGTTTGTTGTCCGGTTGAACACCAAGGTATTTACACTCCTCCACCACCTCCACTTCTTTTCCCAAGATGTGAACAGATTGATCTTGTTCCTCTTTTTTTTTTCTTTTTTCTGAAATCTACAATAACCTCCAGATGATATTTCCACACCATGCCACAAAGCGTTCACTAACTTCTAGTACATCTTTGATGCACCCAATGACTGTAGAGTCATCTGAGCATTTCTGCAGATAACAGGACTCTGACTTTGACATCAAAGGTGTACCGAGTAACAATGAATGGTGAGAATAATGTCCCCTGTGGTGATCCTGTGCTGCTGATTCCTTGATTAGACGGTTGATCCCTCAATCTAACAAACTATGGTCTGTTTGTCAGGTAGTCTTTTATCCAGGCAATTGTTGATGCCTCCACCTGAGTCTTCTGAAGTTTTTCACAAAGTAAGTCAGGCCGAACTTTGTTAAATGCTCAGGAGAAATCAAAGAACATGATTCTACAAGTGCTCTCTGCCTTATCTGAATGACAGTTGGTTTGTTGCAGCAAGTGTATGATGGCATCTTGAACTCCAACTCCACAGGGATAAGCAAACTGCAGGTTGTCTTGATAACTGATTGTTTGCTGAGGTGAACCAACAGATGTGAAATGTCAGGGCAACAGGTCTATAGTCACTGAGGACTGTTGGCTTGTTGAACCGGAACAAAAAGACCCTTTGTAATAAAAAAAATAAAAATCTCTTCACTGAGGAGAATAAAAATAATACTACACATTTACTATAGTTGTCAAACTCACAAAGACCCATAACACTGTTGAACAATCTATTCCAACTACCATTAGTAGTAATGATTTTATAGAATTCTTCTTAAATAAGATTAATCCTACTAATAATGAGATCATGGGCACCCCACCATATATGATTAATTTACCCTTAGTAAAAGATAATATGCGGTAACTATAGAAACCAGCATTTGTTTTGATCTTTTTTTTTATCCAGTTGAGCTTTCAGAGTTATAAAAATTTGTATCTTCATCTAAGCCTCCACTCTGTATTTTAGATCCAAGTCTAACAAAGTAGTCCCGATGAGTTCTAACTAAGTTTTAGAAGTTCAGACTGATCCTTGTTCTGCTGAAGGATTCTTCCTGTTAAAATATTTTTTTTTCTCCACTGTTGCTGGATGCTCGCTCTGGATTCCTATAACCTTCACAAGAGTCAACAACATAATGCAAGTGAATACTGTCATCACATGCTCTTCCAGCAGAAACCTGCAATCAATGATTTGATCCAATAAGCTGGTCTTGCTTAGATAGTGTTAACCTGTCTGACTGTGTGATCTGAATGAAATGTCTCTGTAAACTTGCCTTAAGATGACATGTTGTTATTGGATGGTATATATTCCAAATACTGTAATCTGAATTAAATTGTATTGTAATTAGTATTTACCAACTCATATGTGAATATCTAATTTAAAATCAGATTTTTACAACAAGCTTATACAGATAAAACATAAAAACTGTCAAGGAAATTATTCTATAGGGTAAAATAAATAAATAAAAAATAAAATAAATAAAATAATTTTAATTACAATGAAAAGGGAAGGAATTTATGATTGTTAAGTGTGACCCATTGAATTAAATGTAAAGAAAACATTGAAAAACCTGGAAGAAAATACGAAATGTACAAATGTACCAATTTTTACATAATTCTTCTTGCAGCATTGTTTTTGAATTCACAAGAAACATTGGATCATTAGTCAGACTTCCTGTTGGTTCATAAATTGTCAGTGGTAAGCTTTAGCCATCTGATTTCAGTTGAAAAGAAAAGTATTTTTTGTCTCAAATGAAACAAACAAGAGTCTAACTCTAATTAGAAAAGACCTTCTTCCAAAGCTCTGCAAAACTCAACAGCTCAAAAACGAAAATAGCAGACACAGAAATATGAAATAGTTATTTGCTACTTCAAACATACCCATATATCCATTCTTTTTCCTTTTTTTCACCTTAAGGCACTTTATTCTCAGTTATTCAAATATCAGTGATGACTATGCAACAAATTTGGGTATGTGGTAAAAATTAAACTGTCCATAATTTAAATAAAAAAAAAAAAGATTTTGATAACACAAATGCTTCTGGCGGAGGTGAGGTAAAGTGACTGTGCCATTTTTATATTTTCCCAGGGTTAGGAATCAGTCAAAAAATGATGAGCTCTTACGAACATCACCCTTCACAGTTGATAAATTAATCAGCCAATTCCCTGCTTGGAAAGGGTAACAAATGCTAAACCTGTTTTTCCCATGATACACACAACACATTTCTGACCAAGCAGCTCACCTGTCATGAATGATGCTGTGATTGGCTCAGAAGTATCATCCCCTTGTATTGTGATTAAACTAAACGTGTAGTGAGTGGATGGCAGCAGGCCCTGGACCAGTGACCTCGTCTTGGAGCCATCCAGTGTCACCTTAGAAGTGTCAGTCCCGTCGGCAGAGCTGTAGCTCAAAATGAAGAGATTGGCGGGTGGTGCCGGGGAGCTCCATGACACTAACACTGAATCTGATGTCCCTTCTGACAGGTAAAGCTGGGTTACAGGCCTGATCCCTGGAGGAATGGGGGTTTACAAGTCACTAGGTAGCTTTCAAGAACATGTTAATATTCCAGCGGTGAATGAGAAGCACTAAGGTACAAACAGCTGCAGGATGAATGAATATAAATGTCAAAGCCATGCAGTGATGGATGAGAGCTCTCCAAGATGATGTAATAGATTCTTTATAATAAAGTTGAGAAGATTAGCCTTAATGAACAAGGTGATTCAGAGCAAACTGCAGTCATGTGGCAATGATGATTTAATTGGTCATGAAATTGAGAAACTAATAACATTATCCAGAATAATGATGAAGATCTGAAAGTACTTTGACAGCATGATAGCAGATGCTGCTGTCATGTGTGACCTGAACAGGAGATGCTGTAATGTATACAAATCCCCACCAAATGCAGGAAGAGTTTAATTTGATTAGCCAAGTTTGGATTCATATATAACAGGATAAATATGGCAAGAATATCTTCCCCTCAGCTGATTCATCTAAATGAAATACACTGTGGAGATCTTTTGCCATCAGTCATTGTATTAAACCTGCACTGTTATTACTGACCTGCTTTTGCAATGTCTCTGTAAGCTGCAAGTTTATATCTTTCACAAGTTTCTTGAACCTTAGCTAGAACACTGTCAGCAGAATTATGTGTTCTACAAAGAGCTTTTTGTCTTATTCATTATTTCTTAATTGTCCTTGTTTAGAGTAGCAGAGGAAGATGGTAAGCAAAAGGTGACCCACTTCTCTAAGAATGATGTTGTAAGATAAAGTTGTGTCTTTGGAATGTCACTTAGATGTTCTAAATAAAATTAGCCTGGATATGATGCAGTGTTTTTTATCAAATAAGAGGACAGGAAATCCTTAGAGAGTTGATATAAAAGTAGAAATATTGGGACACCTGAGATTAACACCATATGTTTGTAACACCCCGAGGTATCCACAAAGACATGGACTGGACTCATCCTACCCACTACAAGCACAAAGTAATATATCAGCCGATCATTCATAATTTACAGCTAAATAAAGGTCTCGATAAATTTTTAACCTTATGTTCTACTAACAATACTAAAAAAATTTGTTCCAGGCATACAGTATCTTCAAACATCTGTAGGTGAGCACTAATGGGACCATAAAAAGGAAGTGGAGCAAATATAAAATCATAAAACTTCTGAACATGAAACAAAGTCAGTTTAAATATTTTTCCGAAATAAAAAAAATATATATATCTTTAACTGTTTTAAGTGTCTAAGATATTGAAAGGCTGTTGATTTTAAATTCAACTGTATTTCAGTATTTTTATTTAGGGCTAACAGTACGTCTCAAACAACTACTATATACTGTTTACAAGGGCTGCAGCGATTAGTTGGCATACCTAACAATATTAACCATGAAACACAATCGATTAAATACGTCAAAACATTTTTTTTAATTAAAATGGCTGCTTGTCTCAATATGGCTGATGAGTTTGAGTAAGTTAAAGCACTCTATCGCATGATTCTCAGTGGTTTAGAGGGCAGTAATGTAATGACAGGGACTAAAGGGGAAAAAAGTGAGTTAAGCTTCATAAACTTTTTTCTTGAGCTATCACAAAGCAGATCTTCATGCTCAACTCAGATTTTTTTGACATAATCTTTCATAACACTGAATAAATTCGACCCATACCAGGCTGCAGTCTAAACCGCAGACGAATGTAGACGCCACATAGGCAAAACACAGAATTAATGATGGATGTGATTTTCACTAAAAGTGTTAATTAAAGCATTGTTGAAAAAAAAAATAGAGAATGCCAGTGTCTCTATGTTATTAAAGTATTAAACAACCGGAGCTGACAGTATAATGACTCCGTTATGAACAAAGAAAGTAAGCAAAGATAGCACAACTATTAGGAACACACATTTGCAAAGCATCACTGAATGCTGCTGCTGTAAAGAAGGCCCATTTTAAAAGTGAAATAAAATGCGGCATGACCATTCAGGCTGATTCAAGTTTTGAAGAAATATTTAATAAATATCATTTTAAGTACGACATAAAGACAAAGCTCAGATTTTTTTTATTTGGGGGGGGGCAGAGTGAAAAAATTTAAAATTAGTTGTTCAGAATAAAGTGAAAAAGTCAGACATGAGTCGCATATGGGCAAAAATACTAGATTTGGGTCGATTTCCCTGCAGTGTAGAATGATTTAAGGTGAGAATCTAACCATGTGAAGCAATCACCCCACCCCCCCATCTCTTGTATTACATCTTGTCCCAGACAAAGTTAACTTAAATAAATACCAGATCCACTGACTTCTAATAAAATAAAACACAGACTTCAGCAGGAACACAGCTGGGGCCTGTATGTCAAAGTAATTTCAATAAGTGGACTACAGGATCTCTTGTAACTAAATTTAGGAAGACCAACATTGCTACAAAGTGGCAGAAACAACTTGTTCAAATATACAGTAAAAATTATTAAAAATGTCATGCTCATGTTTAGTAGAGAAACTTTTAAATTAAGGAATCAACTTAAAGTAATCTTTCAAACAGAAGAGTGAATACTGAATATTTTTAATTGTTTTAATTTCTGTGGGTTATTTGTTGAAAACATGTTATTATCAATAAAGCAATACAATATGTGCAGGAATAAATCCAGGAGCACAGACAGTGTCAATCCACAGAAAGTCCCTGGCATCTGTTATTGGTTTTTAGGATTACAGGTGTATCTCAGTGCAGACATCTTTAGCCAATAGGGCAAACAATGGATGAAAAGATGACAAGCCACATCAAAAGGCTTACTCTGACTCTTTTGATCCACATTTTATCTTATTCTCCTCTCTGCAGGTGATTAAATTGGAGTTACCACGGTTAGGAGAACAGAATGACGAGGATGATGATAATGTAGTGATAGCGAGAACTGCCAGTCTGCCATGAGGGCAGCAGTGAACAAGAAAGCAGATGATGATAATGACAGGAGAAGACAGCGGTGCCCATCATTTGGACATCATCCTTTGTGTTTGCAAAAACCACATGAAGCTTTTTACAAAAGCATCAAAGACTCTACAGAGGTGAGAAGAGTGACAGATGATCTGATGTGTGATTGGTTGGACAGAAAGAATGGCATCAAGCTGAGAAAGAAGACAACAGTGTAGCAAGGCAACTGTGAGGCCACGGTATTGCACATATGCAGTTGAAACAAATACATTTACATGCAAAACAGAGGTGCAATAAGAAAACACTTGTAACGAGCTCATTAACTGACTTGAATAATTTACCTCTGCTAATTGCTTCTTTAAAGCCTTAAAGGTCCTGTTTTCTTTTAGCATGAATCACCTTACCTGCAGCTAGACTTCAGTTCATTATAATCACCTTCTGCATGATTATGCAGTGGCCATACTTGGCTGATCTTGTTGTATTTATCTATGAACCGATTTTTCTTTGACATATTTTGGTTGATTCAAAGGATGTAAAGTGATACTGGCTAAATAAGTTTCTGTAAAACTGAGGAAAATAAGCAACAGAAGCCTTTTTTGTTTTTTAAAGAAAATGTTTCTTAAGAAAGCTTTTAAATTGCATGTTATTTTCAAATTTTCCAAAAGTGTGACTTAGATGTTTGACTGACCTAAATTCTGAGCAGCAAAATCTGACATTTCTCTTTACCTGTGTAGGCATCTATGGTTGCTGCGGTGCTCTGCTGCCTCCCTCTATTTGCTGCTACTGTAATGGTATATTCAGTTCCAGGCTCCAGGTCTGTCAGGGTCGTGGTTGTTATGTCTTTAGGTACCGTCACCTAGAACAGAAAGAATAAGGTTAAGAGCAATAACAACCTACATTTCCTCTTATCGGTACAGAGTACAATGTAGATGTCATTAACATATGAGTAATTGCTCAGTAAACTGGCTCACATTTGTTGTGTCTTTTACCTTAGTCGTAATGCCAGAGGAGGATGTGTAGGTGACCCTGTAGTGGTCAATTGGACCTTGGACTACACCCCACACCAGAGTGATGGAGTTGTCTGTGGAAGCTGTCACAGTTAAATCCATGGGTACATCCAGACCTATAATACCAGAGGGCAAACATGATTTCATTACATCCAGTAGTGCTGAGAAACAATTTCCACCCCACAGATCTGAGACAGGATTTTACGGGAGAATATGACTGTTATTTTCCCCCAAAAATCTATTTTCATCTGTTCAAACAACAGACACTGCATAACAAATAAAGAAGCCTTTACTGTTAATGTTCTCTTAAACCCAATGTTATTTGTTTGCCTCTACTTTCTTCCTGCTTGGAGTCGTGCTGCAAAATTACACTTATTTCAGGAAAACCTGGATATAGATACTCTTATGCAAAGTAGGAATAAAATATTCAAAGCATAATGCTTAATTTTTTTTTCAAATCTTTAAAAATGAATATACTTTTTAGTGTTGGTTTATAAATCTTAAAAAAAAAACTGCAGGGTAATTGGAAGTTTTTTCAATTTCCTTTTCAGTTCTGATATTATGAGAAACAGGAGATGTATCACATAATGTATTTTCAAAAGAAAGTATTTCACCAGTTCTTCCAAAACATTAATCGTTTAAAGCCTAAATCATATTATAATTGTCAAAAATTTATTTGTTTTAGATTTGTCATTTCACATTCTGACAAATAAAAAATAAACTCAAATACTGGGTTTACTTGGATGATTTATTTGTATCGCTTGTGATAAATTAGGCATTTCCTTGTAATTTATTATAGATTTTCGGTTCTGTTCCTGTTATTGTATAAGTCAGATTTTTATGAGCATAAACAACACGCTGATGATGTAAAGGAGATAAATTTAAATGAATCCTGTTTTTGAAGTTTCCTCACCAGATACCGAAACAAAAATACTAAGACAGCAAGTAGCTACTTTTAAAGAAACATTACCTAATGGTGTGACAGAATCAGAGCCTTCACAACCTTCAAAGTGAAAAGACTTTGAGGAGATAAAAAAATTATCTTAGTTTGCCAATTGTAAAACCAACATGAGCATATAAGAGTCTATCAAAACTATCAACTAGAAAGGTTAACAATGCACCCATCTGCACTGACATTTCAAACAGGTGAAAGTTGAATCAAGCTTGTTTTTTTTTCTGCTCTCAGTCAAACGACTCAAAGCACAATAGACATTTAAATGTCCCAGAGATGAAAGGAAAGGGCCATTAGTGAAATGGCATGGATGATTACAGATTTGAAAAGCTGCACTAGGATGTTTATTTATTTCCCCAAACTGTTCAATTACTCTATAAAATCTTAATTTCTACAAACCTCCATAAATTACCTATGTTAAATTTGTGGTAGCCAAACTGCACATCTTATTTATAAGGTCTCTTATAGTGACCATTATTGATTGAAACATGAGTACTCAGGTCATGTGTAGCAGTGTGTGTTTATATACAAATAGGTCAACTTACTTGTTGTAATGCTGATATTTCCCAAGAAAATATTCACTATTGTAAATATGCAGAAGTTGCTCCCTGTTTTATCACAGTGAATCATGAAGTATTTTTTTACCCACCTGTCCTGGCATTCATCGTCGCAGGCGTACTTTGGTTGATACCTTTCATGGCAGAGATTCCAATGCCGTACTCAGTGCCCGGCAGCAGGTCTGGTGCACAGGGATGGAGAGAGAAGCAGAAAATTCAACAACCAATACATCAAACTCTAGCAAGCTGTTTTACATTTTCCTCATCACAGAAATGCGACACCTAGAAGAAAACATTTTCCATAACAGCTCTAGAAGAAATACTAAGGTGATGGGGACATTTGCATTGACATTGTGGTGATTTTGGTAGAGATCTGTTTTTGTCAGTTCCATCATTTTGGTTGAATTTAGCTGAGCTGTTTCAACTCCTGAGCTCCAGAAATAAAGATGAAGAGATGAGCAATGGAAAATAAAGTGGGCGAATGACAGATTATTAGAGAGACTCAGGGAGAGAGAAAATTAGAGTGGCAGAGAAAGAACGTGGAGAAAGTATTGATTCGAGTGGCCTAAAGATATAACAAAGGGGCCCTTTGTTTCTGTTCTCATACAGGTTTGCAGCACCAAGACCTTTCAAAAAGAAAAGAAATCCCAGCTGATCCATCTTTCTGACAGCCGTTCAATGTGTCTGCATTTCTGCAGATACAATCAGTAACCCATCAACAAAATGTTAGCAGCAGAGATAATCACACCATGTAAAACATATTCTCTTTGTGACATCTTCAGTACATATTAGATGCACTGTGATAAGACTGACGGCTGGAGAAAAAACAGGGAGTGAATCACAAGACCTCTGCCGATGTTAGTAATAAATAATTCAGCAGGACTTTAAACACTTTTTTTTAATCTGCACTTACCTGTAAGGTTAGTCTTGGTGGTGGCACCCTCATTGCGCGGCACAATCACCTTATCATACTGATCTCCTGCTAAGGTGCTGTACACCACCTGATAGGCTTCCACCTGTATTTCAACATTTTGCAGAAACACAAATGTGAATGAAATAATAAAAACAATATATATATATATATATATATATATATATATATATATATATATATAAAATAAACAGGAAAGCTTTATATTAAATTATCTACAATAAAATGAACAAGCAAGACCTTGCAGTGTCTTATTCTGTGGAAAAAAGATTAAGCTGGGAGTCAGTCAGCAGGTATGTTATCTTTATAAAGCCTATCAAGGACAGATGAGTTAAGTTCTGCAAGACACCTCAATGGAATTGTTTCTCTATAGTTACATCCTAAACTGTTACAACATATAACCACATTTTATTTAGTTGTTTTTTTTTTTTACTTGTATGTATCGTGGCTTGGTTTATCCTCTATGCTCAATTTATTATGAGGGATATTTATTTTATTGATCAATGAAAGTCAATAATAATGATTTGATTGTGGTATACATTTTTTTTATGTTACTGAATAAAAAAATGCTCTGCGACTGTTTTTAAATCTATTGATATAATGATAAAGCATTTAAAAAAAGAGTAAAAAAAAATTTCCAGCCAAACAACCAAACACAATGTTTAAAAAATTTTTGTCACAAAAGCAGATAAAAACAAAAAAAATATTCCAAAAGGTATTTCATTCAAAGTATATTAGTGACCTATCATGAAGTTAACTGTGGGTATTTAAGTTGTAAATTTTACAACATAAATACCTAAATTTTCAAAATCTCCTAAATATACTACAGAGACCGATAATGTCAAATGCAATAAAGTATTCCAAAGCAAATGAGCATTTGCATGGAGTTAAAGCATGAATGCAGGTGATTTAATCCAGATAAAGGTTAACATTTTTATTCAAATTCAAATTTAAAAAAAGAACGTTTAAAAAGTCAGTTAATGCAAATTGTTGGGATAGAAAAAAAAACTGTAAGTATTAACATAGTTTTAAGAATTTTCTTTCTTCAAACTTACAACTAATTATAGATCTCTCCAACATCCCTGAGGGGAATTGACAACCCTTGATCAACAGTAATAGCCTCAATATCCTTACAGTCAGATATTCAGTGTAAGTCGTGATTATCCATAACTTGGGTTAATCTATTTTCCACATAATTAAACTTAATCTCCCTGCTTGCAATTAGTTCCGAAAATCTTAAATGTTCTTGTTTTTTTTAAGTCAACTGCATAAAAAACGACTGTTGCTTTTCCTGTCTGTCGATGAATTGTTTTAAATTAGGCAATGCTCAGTGCTAAAATCAACAGATGTTTTACTTTAATCCGATAAACAGATAATTTCATAAGCAAAACAGAGGTTGCAGAACTAACATCTAAATGACTAAATCCTCTTATCCTGAGATGAATCCCACAGCCATCAATCTCTTAAAGTGGTTGAAAGCAAATTGAGACAAATGGATTAAATCTGCCTCACGTCTCTTTACCTCAGCCTCACTGTTATCCCATTCAAGCTCGAGGGTAGTGGAGGTCTTGGACACAAGCCGTAAGTTCTTGGGGGCATCAATCTCTGAGAAGAACGATAAAGCTGACAATGTTGGGAACACAGAGACCGACTCTCAGAGATTTTGAGCAAGGAAATATATGAACAGTTTAAAAGCTTATCACAAACAGATAAAGGTAGAAATACCATACCAGATTTAAGTTAAGGCTGACACTTGAAATGTCTTTAAAGCATTTTCTGATAAATATTTGCAATTTCATTTTAAATTCTCAAGTCCACATCAATTCTTGTTAAACTATAGCTGAAAAATAATACACTCCAATACCTTTTTTTGTAGATTTATGTGTAAAAGGTTGTATTTTTCATCACTATTGGCAAAGTAAAGACATGTATGACCTAGAACAGCTTTTAAAAGCCGTTTTGTCCAAAGCAGATAAACAATGAAGCATTCACTATAGGCCGTTGTACCATAACTCTCGATGCTGCCTTTGAGGCATGCACAGGAGATGGACACCCAGCATCACTACATCTGTTTGCTGTCAGACCTCACCGGTTGTAAATTCAGTGGAAATAGATCCGCTTTCATTTCCTTTCCTTACTCCGCTTACTGACACCTCATACCGTGAACCAGGACGTAAGACCTATAAAATAGTAGAAACCAAATGCATCTGTTTAGGTTAGTAACATGTCTTTTCTACATTTCTAACACAGATGGCAAATAAACCATGAGATTGGAGTCTAACACAAACACAAAACAAATATGAGGAGGTAAAAATCTAGTTTCTTTCTATTATAAAAAGCTGAAACACACATTATAATAGAATCCATTATGAGTCCTAAAAAGCATCACAAACCCACCTGTAATGAGTACTGGGTGAGGGTGGGCTGAAGCCGGAAGGTGGTCCGTGGTCCCTCTCCTCCCACAAGGCCATAACGCAACACAATCTGATCAATCTTTGCTTTTGGTGGAGTCCATTCCACAAATGCTACAGTGTCTGACACATCACGCACTATCAGCTGAGTCGGGCCATCAATCACTGCAAAACAGCATCAAAAAATGTAAACAAATCAGGAGTTCTCTTGTCAAGCTGAGCAATAACTGCAAACTGTGGCAACCCTACTTAGTGTGGCAACATATTTTTTTTATTTTTTAAAATTAAAGGGTAAGAGACAATCAAGCCAGAGAAGAACAAATAATTTCCCTTTATGAATAGGGAGGGCGACCAATAGCAGTCACAATGGAATTGTCGAATTACATAGCTGTCAAACTGTAGTGAAAGTTGATTTTAGTTAGGCTTTATCTACAGTAATGGTAGGCTACCTATAAAGAATTTTGTTACAAAATATTTTCCCTTAAATAAAAAGATAATAAAGGCTGTAAGCAGGTTTGGGTGGCCCTCAAACCTTAATGCTGTTTAAATGGGTCCTAACAGCGGCTATTCTGCATCACCACCTAATTGACTCTGATTAGCTTCCAGCACAGTTCCACACATCACCACCTGGCAGTACAATAAGTAAGCTTTATATCCTGTTCAGTGGCATAATGGCTCAGTTTAGGACTGGTGCAAAGGGCTTAAGCTTTTGTAGAGATAGAATGGTAAATGGCCTGTACTTATATAATGCTTTTTTAAGTCAAGAGGCTGGATCAAAGTGCTTTGCACTACTTCAGTCATTCACCCAATCACTCACACACTGATGGTCGCGAGCTCACTTAAAGAAGTGCCACCAGTCCTTCTGACCACCATCAGTAGGCAATGTGGATAAAGTGTCTTGCCCAAAGACACAATGACACTGAAAGGAGCCGGGGCTTAAACCGCCAACCCTCCGATTGCAGGACGAACTCCTTCATCCGACGCCACTGTCAACCAATGAACCTACCTTATGGAAAGATTAATTAAGATTTTTGATTAAATTTGTAAAAAAGGTACATGACGTTATTATTATTGGACAAAGTTTGATGCTTCTATTGATTAATATTGAATACAACAATTTATCGTAATACAACTGCAACCTTTGATGTCTGTAGATGGCATTTTTTTATTTTTTATTTTTGGGATAGACCAACTAGTATATTGAAGGCTATGATATACAATTGAGAAGTGGAATTAAAAAATATATTTTTGTTATTTTAAAAATTTGAGAAGTGTCCCTTGAATGTTTATTAAATGCTTCTGTGGCAATTATGTCATCAAAAAATTTGAGGATTTTCTCAAGTAGCGTAGCACAATTTCAGTAAAATTCAACCTCCAATTTCTGTCAATAGCTGTTTTACACAAAATGGATTGAAGATGTCGACATCAAGATTTTTTCAAGTCTTGCAATATTTTCTCTGCTGGCTTTTAGTCTAGGATTTAGCTTGGATATCTGAAAAAATATGAATATGCTTTAATCCAAAGCACAATTTTTTGTGCTTGCTCTTTATTGCTTTTGTTTGGCTTTTATTGATTACATACGATTAAAATAAGGAGTTGGTACCTGTAAAAGGATAATTGCTTCTGCAAAGCACGTTATGCTTTTGTAAAAAATCAAGTCTGGGGAATATAGGTCCCTCTCACCAATTTAATCATTCTCCATTCCTTTGTTATAAATCAAATCCAAATGTATTTTGTGAACTCCAATATAAACTAGCTAAATTTTGAATATCTAGGGTGTGATATCTCTTTTTTTTTTTGCCTATAATAACAAACTCCATTAGACATATCATAATAGGTTTATATATTGTTTTTCCATTTTTATATGGATTTACTTTGCATACCTTAGCCTCTACATTTAAAAGTTGAACAGCACTCTATAAAGTGCTACACATTGATAAAGCGTAGTCACAAACATGTCTTACAGTGGTCTTTTTCTTACTATCTCTGAGCACCTGAGATATAAATAAGTCTCAAATTTTAGGCTTGACATATTGCAGGTCCACCCTTATCCTTTATGTATTAGAAATTGGCCCCTAGGGTCTCGTCCCAGAAAATAACCTGAGGAAGGCACTTGCTGGGAACCATCCGCCAAACCAGCCCTGCTCTCCCTCTGGGTTTACTTCCTGACTCCTTACGGTGCTCGCTCCATCTCCAAGGAGGGATAAATCTTTGTTATGAATAATTTAGGAACTTCAAATTTGTCTTTTCCCCTTTTTTTTATCCAGTATGGTGTCATGCAGTGAGCTACCGTAAAAAATTAATGAGGAGATGACATGAATTATTAATCGATACCTAATTACAACCACCCAAAAAACTAACATAGACTTGACAGGAAATTGATGGTGTTTTGACTGCAGATGTCGGCTTCTGAATTGTTATGGATGAGATTTGGATTGGATCTTTTATCCCTAAGTAGTGTCTTCTTTGTGGGGATAGGAGCCTACATGTTAGATTGCTCTGGAGACAAAAATATACCAAGTAAAGTAGCGGTAATTTTAAATGTCTGTATAGTTAGGATGTGTGTCTTTGGGTTTTTTCTTTAACATTGTCTTTATTATCCTTAAGTTGTAGATTCCAACACAGACTTTTTGGTTAGTTAAGTATAAATATTTTTCTGCAATTCTCAGTGATGCCTGTTTAGTGAATCATTAAGACTCCTTTAAAATGATTATAAAAATCATAAAGGAAAACAGACATTTTCTCTAGCTTAATTACATACAGCCATATTCTAAATATTAGAATATAAATGAAAAGTTAATAATTTTGAGGAATGTACTTCAATAAGCCATTGTCGGGGGGGGGGGGGATTATTGTAAAATATCCTACATTATATGGATTTACGGGTACATTTTGGAGACTTAAGGGCTAGTTTTCCTCCCGCAGCAGTGTGTCGCAGTGAGCTTGTCGCAGATATTTTTGATTTATGACCAATATTGAAGCGTGGTCTGTGCTATGTTATTCCACAGCACAACGCAAGAGGGACAATTACAAACTCGCTGTAGATATGGCCTAGGTGTTGAGGGAGTGGGGGCAAGTTTGTGACAATGAGGGCAAAAAAGAGCAGGGATCCAGGGGGAAAAAGGGTCCCAGCATTCTCCCGCACCTCGTTCTTCTAGCTGGTCCATCTGCATGAGTCAGATTCTGATAGAAAATGTGATCTCATACACGTTAGCAGATGAGTAGACATTCATAGCTCCAGCCTTATCAAAATATTACACTTCGTTCTTAACTGAAGGACTCAGCTCTCATTCCATTTCCAAATGTTTGCCATGTACAGAATGAATATTATAACTGTATATCCAGGCAGAGGAACTGTCTTAATTAAATAATTTTTGTGGAAAACATCAGTTCTGACACGCAACAGGCAGCCAATACCAAGGTGTAATAAACTCACACATCTTAAGTGATAATTTTCCTATCAGATGCCTCCTGTCTGCGGAACTGTCTGCGGTCACCCACAATTTTGGAGAGGTGCAGCAGAGTATCTGCAGAAGAGGCGGGGGCGCATTTGCGTTCACTGCGTCACATATTCTGAACACCTGGTTTATGAGTATAAATCAGCCTTTAGAGGTACATTGTGAGGACTTAGAGGTACATATGGATGCAATGGGTTGGAACATGCCTTATTTTGTTTCTGTCTCTGGACCGGCAATAGCTGGGGCAACTGTTGGGGATCTAGTTGGGGTTACGAGAGGAGGAGCAGTGTGTGGGGGATCTTTGCTTGAAATGTTCTGAGGTTCCATGTCAGTAGTATGGCTTAGTTGGACATAGGTGTATCACAATTTCTTGACCTCCTCTGGCTTTCAGATTGACTTGGATCAGAAGACTCCTTCAAAAGTTTGTCTATCTGATCTCAATCATGTTGACTGCAGATTCCTTCCCAGGTGGTTTAATGTTTTCAGGGGACAATCTCCCAACTCCGCTGGAAACCCACATCCACTTGGAAACAGGATAGCAGCGTTGGTAAGGTTTTTGGGTACCATGTGCCTTTCTCTGTGCCTCTCTGACATAATAAATAATGGTTTGGGAAATAACCCATGCATGCATAGGGAGAATATGCAAACTCCATATAAAACCCTAGACATTCTTGCTGCAAGACAATAGTCTACAAACTTTTCTTTAAAAAAAAAAAAGTCCAGCTCAATACATTCAGCTCTCAGGTCTGACATACCAGTGTGGGCATGTATTTATAAAGTGAATTCTCACTGCAAATGTCCAACTTACACTTAATCATACTTACAAGTTGTGAAAGTAGCAGTGACTGGCTGGCTTCGACCCTGCTCTCTAAGAGCAACCAGGTTGACTGTGTACTCCTCCCCAGGCCTCAAACCCGTCTGAACAAATGAAGTGATGGTGCTGGGCAGCTGAGCTGTCATGCCACCATCATTGTCCTTTAAAATAAAAGATACACAAAAGATAAGATAAGATCATACTTTAACATAAGATAATATTTCAATAGAAGATTAAAAAGTCCACAATAAGAGAGAAGTTTTGGTGGTTGAATTATGAGGTAAATGTCCAGAAAAAAATGTTTTTATTACTTCTTAACTGTTTGATTGTTTAGGACATTAAATTCTTAAAATATATTACCTTGCAAAAATGTGTGTGCAACAATATGTTTCAGGTTGTGTTCTGCAGAGGCAGCACTCTGGGCAATTGTAAAGGACTGTCAATCATCAGCACAGAGGCCCCAGCTACATCCAGCTGTTCTCAAACAGTCCATGTTGCAAATTCACTTCCTGCTGACAGATGTTTTACCTGCTACTGTTCCATGAACCTCAACCACTTACACTTTCAAGATTTTTATCTGTTACACCAGTAAATACTGTGACTCTCTGGCAATGCATTACCATTTAAAATTGTAATTTAGGAAATGGGTTTCTTTGCAGGACATACTCAAAAAGAGGAAGGACTATATTTTATTCTTTTAAAATGATAAATGTTAACAGATTCACTGACCATATCAATGAGTTTAGAAGTTCAGATTATTGTTGTGTATGGTATTATTGATTTGTGTCCGCTTACAAGAAATTTAGTCAGAGCTCCCACCCCAAAAGGTCAATGTAAAGGTTTCTATCTAGAAGTTGTTATGGTTTTAGAAGCTAAACATTCATACGTAGGAAACAAATATCAACTTATAGCCAGACATTAACAATGTGTGAAACTAAATATTAACATGTTTTGGCTCTTAATTCAAACTCTACCATTTCCACAAACATGCCCTCAGACTAAACCTAACACCATAATAGTACAACCAGTGCTTTTTCTATTTTGATTATTAACATTTGCAAAGAAAAAAAAATCCTGAGTTTTACTCTTCAAACTCATTCTAAGGGAGTACTGTATACATTTTATCATCATCAGTTCTCAGGAAAAAAAAAAAAAAAAAGTTCCCAGGAAAAGACTTTCAGGTATTAGGAAATAAGTTGTCAGCTCTCAGGAAATAAAAAAAGTTGTCAGTTCTAAAACCAGTAAGTAAAAAAACTTTTAAACAGAGAACTTACCAAGTCAGAACTGAATGTTCTTTTCAATTGTCTGAATTGTACAGTAACTCGTAAGCATTTTCCAGTAACAGAACTGATTACTGCCACTGAATCAGTCATCAGAAACACTACATGGCAAAGGCAAAAGTGAAAGAACTTGGGTTGAAAGTTACAGTTGCTCTCTCTAGTGCAAAATTGCCCTCTTCCAACATTATCACACAGGTTACCTCTAGATAATGATAAAAACATTCCCATTTTGCCAGCAGACACAGGCAGATGGTACATCTGAAAGACAGGACCACTTTAATTCCTAACCTGACCTGTCGGACCTCTGCCTATCAACCACATACTGTACTTCAAATACAGGGATAACTGTTACCAACAGAAACATGAGTGCACTATGGCTTCCCCAGTTTTGGCCATTGTTGCCAATATCTATATCGAGATGATGGAGAGTAGAGTACTCAGCACATACAAGGAAACACAACCATCTCATTAGTTCAGACAAGTGGTTGACAACTGGGTCAAAATCCAAACTCAGGAAGTTGAGGCATTCCCCAATCATATCAACACATTGAACAGAAACATCAAGTTCATCAGGGAGCATACCAAAAAAAAAAAAAAAACGTGTTGCCCTTTCTGCACTCTGCTGTGCATAACAAGGACAATGGAAGCCTTAATTCTGAGGTTTACCCGAAACCTACCCAAACATAAAGGCCAATACCTTCATTTTGACTTGCATCACCCACTGGAACATAAGCTTTCTGTGATCAGAACTCTGAGTTAACAGGCCAACAGTATTCCCTCAATTACAGAGGAGAAATAAAAGGAAAAATAAACACCTTAGGAAGTCGCTTGAGGCATGTGGTTATTCGTTAACTGGGCATTTGTGAAGTCGGCCACAACAGTTAGTAGGAAGAACAATGCTGCTAGAAACACAGCATAAAACAAAGGGATGCAAAAACATTTTCATATGTGTCAGGAATTTCAGAGAAACTCAGAAGGATTTTCTGCAAGCACAACATACCGGTGAATTTCAAACCTAACAACACACTCAGACAAAAACTTGTTAAAGACAGGACACCCAAACCTAAGCTGAGTGGCGTTGTGTATGAAATCCAGTGCAGTGAAGAATGTAAAGTTTCTTATATTGGAGAAACCAAACAATAACATCAACGCATGGCACAGCATAGCAGAGCAAGCAGCTTTGAAGAACTTTGAAGACCAAAGTGCTCAGATTTTGGACAGGGAGCACATCTGGATTAAAAGAGCCACCAAGGAAACTATCTTTGTGAAAAGAGTAAAGCTGTCATTACCACAGAGGTGGAAGACTGCGGTTTTAGCTTCCAAGCATTTATAATTCAGTCATGGAACTCATTCCCAAGTTACATAAACACTCCCATTATGATTCAAAAGACCAATCACAGAGCCCTTGTACAACAATGGGCTCCAACAATCCCGTTGAACAAAGGGTGGCTATTTGATTAGTGTCTGACTTGGAATATGTGCGGCAGGATGGACCTCCATGTTGCTTAAATACAACAACGCTCGACCTAGATTTTGCTCTGGTGCGAGCCAACATAATTGACTAAGACTCCTGGATTTCAAAACGTCATAAAAAAAACTGTTTGAAATACAGGTTTCCTTCAAATTTAAGCCTGTTTGTGGTAAGCTCTTAGAAAAAACTCTGTCCGTTCTCAGGTGTTTGGAAAAACAAATAGCTCTTTTTCAAAAGAAATTCTGTGAAATTGTGACCACCTGGATACATATTTGAGTTTAAAAAAAGCAATGCTGCACCCTAACTGCAGGGAGCGTTATCACAGATCCTTCCTCCCAGCAGTTCTAAGACTATAAGCACCACTATTCCAAATAACCTTAATAAGTTGTTACATTCATGCCGATGTTGCACAGTTTCTATCTTACTTAGTTAAATAACATGCTGCTATCATTTTGCACATCTCTGATGTTGCTGCTATTTTCAAATATCCATTACTGTAGAAATGTCCATATCTTTATATTAGTTATTTATTCTCCAGGTGCAGAGTTTTATATTGTTAAAACACTTTATAGCACAGTATTTTATTATTTATGTTTTAACTTTTCACTAGTATGTTATTATTCTTTCCTGTTTTTCTAAGTTGCACATTTGTGTGACCATTTTCTATAATCTTTTTGCTGCTGTAAACACCAGCATTTCCCCATTGTGTGAAAATAAAGGAATTTTCTATTCTATTATATTCTATTCTATTATATTCTATTCTAACATTCTCGCCTTAATGGTTTTTTTTTTTGGGTGGGGGAGGT